AATGGTTGTTCCTGGGAGCAAGCAAGCAAACCGTGCAACAAATATTCATTAACGTGGTAGTTTGTTGTTAGTCAAAGTCAAAATTAAGCCATGTGGAAGGTCTCAGAGCAGCAGGTTTGGTGGTGTGGGTGGCAAGAGCGGGGCTGGGGACCAGGAGAACCTGGTTCCTAGCACCTGTACCCATCTTTTGATGACTTGCACATTTCCTCTTATCTGCTTTCACCATTATTATAGTAATGACATGTCCAAAGTTTATACTCTCTATAATGGAAGTGAAAGCCTTTTTTTTTCTCACCAGCAACAGGTAACACGTCTTCTTAAAGGCCATGGGCTGTGTTGCTAATGTCAGCAGTCTGGGTTTAAATCCAAGGTTTTCAGAGGTATGTCTGCTTCTACAGGTGGATTTTTGTGCCTTAAAAAGAAACAAGCAAGTTATCATAAATACTCTTTTTGGCTGAGAACTGTATTCATGAGGAATATATTAATGATATTTTGGGGACCTCTTGGTACCTTTTTTTCTCCTCCCCTTATTTTAATTATGCTCCCACTGCAAGAGTTTGGCTATGACTGACAGTAAAATCAGGACCAAATTTGGATGGATTAAAGAAACTCCAAACTCTCCTCATCCAAAGAACAAAGCAGCACTGACTTTTTCTGAGTGCAGATGCATGGACATTTCATTCTGGTTCAGTACAGGAGTCAAAATTCAAAATCTACTCTTCCCCTGAATGCAGTGTTCCTATTTAATAAACTAAATTGATCATTCATTTGTATTTTTTTTCTACCAAAGGTGCTTTTAACCTTATTTATTTGATTTAAAGTATTTTAGATATTTACTTATTCTTTATCCTATTAAATTAGAGCAGCAAGTCTTACTGCTTTGTTTCCAAACTCTCTCAAACTGTATTTTAAATATTCATTGTAAAGTAAGCAAAAGGAGTTTTTCCACTGTCTTTGGAGAGATCTGGACTTGCTTCCTTCGTGTACCAAACTGATACCATCACCTGTACACTGCTTGTTTCCAGGCTTTTTCAGACGTTATTTTTCCCAGTAATTTTTTTCATTCTCCTGATTGCCAAGTCTCCCCGTTCTTGTGACATAGTCTTAATATTCCACATTGCTGTATCCATCCTCCCGGTTGTGTTTATATATAAACCCAGACACAATTGCAAAACTAGGTTGTCTGTCGGAGCGTGCTTTGGTTCCAGTGGAACTTTCCCAGCACTGTTAAGGTTATTCTAAACTCGACACAAAAAGATAAGTTCTGAATCCCGTATCCATTGAAAATTTGTGAAACTTCTTTTTTTTTTTTTGTTCACCCAGCTCTCCTGCAAGGTTATTGCTTTTCCCTTCAGCATTTCATGCCGGTTCTTGCACTTGCCCAAAGTGTTTTCTGTTCCAGGCCATTTGGTTGAAATTTAGCCGAACACCTCCGTGCTTGGCCCGCTGAACCTTTTGGGGCAAACTGGTAGAACCGTGTCCCAAACCTTTCTGCACCTTGAAAGGTGCCTTAGGAACATGAACAAATTCCCTCGTCCTTCTTTCCTGGATGTGCCTGTGCGTGATGTTAAATTAGGCGTGCATCAGCCCCGCTTTGCCTGCCTGTTGAGTGAGTGCCCTGCTGACCCCAGGGACGGGAGCTCCAGCAGCGGGGTATGGGTTGTACAGCTGGAGCTGAAGAACAGAAAGTGTGTGTGGAACAGAACAGCTGTTTGCTCTGTGGATGAGGCGAAACGGGGAAGGTTGGCACACGGTTTCTGGCGGCGTGCCCAGCTAACTGCGCTGTGCCACACCTGACACAGCAGGTATGCAGGCTGCCTTATCGTGTACCGCCTATTTTCATATTCCCCTATGAATAACTTTGGAGATAAGTGGATATTGAAGTCTGTATGGGTTGCCGAGATTGATCAGAAATTAATTCCTTGTCATAGCCGACAGTCACTGCTTTCAAGAGTACTTGGACATCTCTTTATCACTTCAATGAATTACCAGCTTCCATATCAGCGCTGTTGGATGGCAGCCATGTGGGAGCCGAGGTGCTGTTGTGACCCTATCTGTTGTAGGCTTTGTAGACTCAAACTCTGCTCAGGCTGACAATGGCTGCTAAACACTGACTTCGCCAGTTTATTGCTTTCTTTTTGTCAGTGTCATTTCCTTTCATTGTGCTGGAGGCTTTTTCTTGTCTGCTGTTTTTCTGCATAGTGCAGAGTTTTTTTTGTTTCGTTTGCTGTTACTTGTAGCTGGGGCACAGATAGCAGTGCAGTTGTGTAGATATCAAGCTTAACAGACAGCTTGTTCTTTATGCTTGTGAATCTCAAAGGCACCGCTGGGATGTTTTCGACATTATAGGCCATGTTGTGTTCTGCTCCGTTACTGAATATGTGCACTGGTTTATGGCATGATGCTCCCAAATAGCAAAGATGGAAAGGAAAATAACAGTGCAATATCTCTTGATGTTACAGGACAGGCATACATCTCAAACTTCAGCTTAATCTTGTACCGGACACAGTTTGTGTCCTTGTCTTCTCCTGAGATGAAAGGACGATTTACAAATGCAAGATGCAGGAGAAGACACTCATTTCCAAAACGATTCTTATGAATGTGATGGGAAAGCTGCAAGGCTTGGTGTCTTTGGCCAGTAGAAGACAGAAGTGATGCTCCAGCGATGCTGCAGTAGGATCATGGAGCACCTGTCAGCACTGCACTGTGTTAAACCAGATCTGTGGCTGGTCAGTGTAAATGACTCAGTGACCAGGGTGTGCTGTGGAAGGGGTGGTGGTCAAAAATGTTTCTGCCCTAATATCATCCAAGCCTCTGGATTTCTTTTGGGAAAAGCTGCTTTCTTGGGGAAGCTGTGCCTTCCTTTTCCCCTTTGAGCTTGCTGCCAAGCAGAGAAGTACCTTTTGCAATGTGAAATTCTTTACCCTTTCTCCTAGTTGCACATGTAATGTCCTTAAACAGGATGTGCCAACAGCTGGAAAAAGTGACTGAGACTGTGTAACACAGCTTTTTGCAGAGTGTGTACTGACGATACTATACTTGCTCAGAGATCAAAGCTTAATGGCATGAATTGTGCTCAGATGTCGCAATTATTAT